AAGGCCTCTTCTGTCAGCAAGCCTCTGCTCAGCCAACGTCTGTAGCGAAGCACTGCAGCGAGCGCGATGCCAAGGATAGGGCCCGGGCCCGAGTTCAGGCGGCTGTGGAAGTCCTCACAGAAAGGCAATGGCAAAAAGGTTTGGAGATTAGAGCCTGGGTATAGTATCATGCTTGGGCTTCACACTTTACACTTTTATGCACTCTACTGGGAGCGAATGCCTTTGCATGAGGGTCCTCGAAGGTGAAGAGGCCCGTTGGGCTCGCCACCTGCGCTTCCCAGCCACAGCAATTTCGGAAGCCTGCCAAGAAATTCTGCCCTGCCTCCGAGGGCGACTGCCAAAGCATGGCTTCCTCGGCCCGCTGATCCCTCGGAGACTGCAACTCCTGAATCAGCTCTCGCCAGATGGGGAAGCAGAAGCATTCTGAACGTGCAGCGTGCTACTTTCGAAGCAGCGTTCTGGTATAAGACTTAGCAGCTCATGAGCATCCTGGATGTGGAGAAACTCCTCTCGCGAAAGAACACCGTCTCGGTTTCGATCGAGCTGATCAAAGAGTGCCTGGCTCAAGTCCAATTATAATGAAAAGTGGCTAGCTACACGTACTGAAAATACTCTTGAAAGACACTGATAGCGCCGTAACTTGCATTCTCGAGCTGTCAATTGGTCACACATGGAAACAGTACGGCCAAGATGCTTTAGCATTTTATGTCATTTGTTTTGGCATGGTGCCAGCAGTCTTGTCTCCCGTGGTTGTGGCATCAGCTTTCCCAATCTTGGGATGTTACATCGTCTTCTGCCACCGTTCCGGACAGACGCAATGCCGCGGGGGAGGACAAATTTTCAGCTGACTTGTCGAAGCTTTATGTTTGTGAATTTTAAGTCATACATTCCCGCACGTGCGGAAGCTGTCTCCGATCAACTTGCATTCTGCAGAGCAGCGATCTGATCTTCTTCAGCCGTGGGCTCGACCCGCTGTGCCACTGGACCACTGCTTGGACATTGCATTACCCGAGACCAGGACCAACTTGAAGCGATCAATCCGCGGGTAACTACTCGGTTAATGCACTTTTTTCTTCTCAGGGGTAGTGTTGGGCCTTAGTGCCTGGCAGCGCACTTTCGTAGAAAGAACCTGGAGGCCCCGAAAAAGCGCCTGTCTTCAAAGATCTTCAGAGTGTCTCAACACAGCTTAGTTCAGGATGCCCGCCAACACTACTGCAAACTTCGCAGGCGACTTGTCTCTTGAGTTTCTCAAGCATTGCCCAGGAAGTATTCAGTAGCTTGTACGCACAGTTTCTCAAACCAAAGACATGTCGTGCGCCATGACTTGTTTGCGCATGTCTTAATGCTACATTTGTTAGGGTGCTCCTTTTGTGCACATGAAGCAGACCTGAACATTTGTTCTTTCAACTTATATCTACATGCCAGCGTGCTTTATCTTTCCTCGTTTAGGCACACTCTTTAGATGTCCTCTTTTATCTGCATGTTTAGCGTATTCACTGTCGACTGTTTCTTTTGCTTTCTCATTTAGGCCAACATGCACGGTTCTTGGAGGTGTTGGGGGGAACTTGCCCCCGGGTGGGGCGAGTGGAGAGACTCACAAACATCACCAAAACACACTTCATGCACCAATAAGGCAATGCACCCTTCCGCAGCCTCAGGCGGCAAAGTGGGCCCGGAGGGCGCGGGTGCGGCCGGAAACTGGCCTCAAGGTTTTGGCGACGAAGGTTCGAAGTTGCGTTCGTTCAGCTAGGACACCGTAGGTCAGCGGAGAGGGGTGCAACTTTGCCAGGAACCACAGTGTCAAGGTGTGCTTCTGGAGATTGTCAATATGTGGCAAGTGTTCAATGCCAGCCCGAAGCACCAATCTAGCCTCCAGATCGCTGCTTCAAGCAACCGTTCGCTTGAAGCACTCGCATCCCCATCGCGCTAAAGCATGGTGGGGCACAAAATAGAACCTACATAGTGGTTGCTCAAAGCGCAATCATGTGCAATGCAAGCATGACAGAAGGTCGCTTCTGTTTTTCTCTGGTTATCCAGAGAATCTGAACCCAGAAACATTAATACCCGAAACCCATAAACCATAAACCCTGAACCTAGAAACCCTAAACCCCGAGACACTAAACCCGGAAGCCCTGAACCCAGAAACCCCAAACGAAACCCTAAACCACTAAGACCGGAAACCCTGAACCCAGACACCTCAAACCCAGAAAACCGAAACTCATCAACCCCGTAAACCCCTGAACCCTAAGCCCAAACACAGCCGGCTGTTTTCCCTATCCAGCACGTCGACAGCCCCGGTTTGCTACCCCGGTGTCCGGAACGGGAGGGTTTGCCCCCTAACCTTAAATCCGAAAGCCCAAACCGAAATTTATCTGCAATATAGTCCCTAACACCTACTGATGTGCCACGTTGGACAAAAATCACTGCCGGTGTCCGGCGCAGTCCTGCGCCCTCAACTGCACGTGCAACCCCCCACCACCGAGCAAGACAAAGCACAGAGGCTGACCTGGTTTTCTACTGAGTCTGACTAGTAAAAGAAAAGGAGCCTCCAATACGTTGACTTCTGCACAGCATGCGACCCCGGACCGACCCCCCAGAATACATTGATCCACTCTGGGATGATGTATGGGGTCGGCATACCCATACATACCCCGCCCCCCCAAGAATAGACTAGCTCGGACTATATACATCGCACAACGCACATCCGCGCATAACTGTCTCCGGGGATCTCTGTATGTTTATCTTCAACGTTCCAGTCTTAGCCTTTGCGGGCCCCATGCGTGCTAGATCGTTTGTTGGCTCAGCATTGATCCCTCCCCCGCCAAACCCTGTCCATTTTACAATGTGGGGATACCCCCCAACCCCTTTGCGGATATATGGTTATATGCGCGCCGCGCCATCCTACTTTTATTCAGGGGGTAGGGATGCACTCGCAACTTTTGCCCCCCTATGCTTGACAATGTAGGCCGCAGGCACGGACTTGGCCCACTGCTGGCAGCAACTCCTCCATGCGAGGGGGAAACCCCGCCATACCCGGCCTTGTCACACGGCTTGGACCAAACATGACCAAACCATCTCACATGCCGATCTGCCTTCCACATGCGCTGGAGACATCAGAAACTTGAAAAGCTCGAAAACGAAGATGTGCAAGCCGCGTGCTACACCCTTCAACTGGGCCTTTCAAGGCCAACGCCTGTTGTCAAACATGAAAATTCAGACACATCTGCGCTGCACTTGTTGCTGCTTTTATTGTCCAGGACGCAGCTTTCTACGGCGCTGGCAGAAAGTCTGCACAGCCCGGCCCCGCCATGCTCTCATGATTCCGATCGTTGATGGTGTCTCTTCTGCGTCCTTGCTCGCCCACGATCGTTCTGGAATGTCATGGATCGAAATCGCTTTGTGCGGCCAGCTCCCACACCTTTCTTACGATCTTGTGAGCGCTACGATTGTATGGCATTACGCCAAGGTTGACTTGGGAGGTGGTGACGCACTGCTCCTCGGCTAGGGTCAAGGTGGGGATGCACTCTCATGGCAACCTGCGGACCCATGCGCCTTCTTCCGATGTTCAGAGATGTTCAGAATTGTTGGAAAGATCGCCCTGCCCAACCCTGCCCCATGCTGCGACGGCTGGGTGGCCAGTGATGCCGGCCTACTGGCGTGAAGCCCTTATAACTGGAAGACTTCAGCAAGCATTCGCCGCAAGTAAAGGTCTCGGCCAGTGCAGTTGCCGGCATCATTGAGGCCTCACCGGATTAATCAGCTACTGCTCCTATATCCGAACACTGGAAAACGAGAAACCCACCTTCACTAAAGCAGAACTCAGCACGGCGACATACGGCGACATTGCAACATGTGGCCACTTCTCCGAAGATTGAAGTTGTGGCAGCCCAGGGCCGCCTTCGAGTGGGCGAAGGAGGCCTTGCCAATTCGACGTGGTTGGAGCAGAGGCTTGCAGACGTTTGCAGTAGGCTCGCAGCACTTACAGCGTGCCTCCGGAGTGGCTGCAGCGAGAGCAGGTGCCAGTGGAGACTGGCAGGGCTGCTCAATGCTGCACAGCTGTCTGTGCAAAGGATAATCGTGCTTTGCAAATCGCCCTCATGAACCAAGTCGACAAGATTCGACAAGTTGTCTTCACTACCAGAGAGGCAATGCAATGTGCATTCCACAAGCCCTATGAGAGCGAAAGCAGAAGGCCTGGTTTGACCTCACAGCTGCCAGATCCTCTCGTTGACACAGACTCAGAAGGGGTGGGTGTCACAAAGTCTGTTCGCTGCGAACATGTTCGAGTGCAATCCTGTCAAGATGTGCCAAGCGCAAGCAATGCGGCTCCTTTCGTGTCTGGCATACGTGGCAGTAAGCTGTGGGGTCCACTAATTACTGGTCCACAGCATACAACTGCGTCGTGTTGAAACATCAACCTTGGAGGAACTGTTCAGATCTGAGACTTCACTCGGCATATCCGACTCTACACTCTACACACGTTGTGCGAGGTACCAGGCAGCAAATCTATGCTGGCTCCTGCACATGGAGAGCCACAGCTAGTCTCGGCATCCCGCTGTTCTATGCGCTTCGTTGGAAGCAGATTGGAGCGCAGGGCAGAGATGGACAAAGGGCTGGGACCGTTGCAGGTTCAGCAGCCTTCCACCGACCCGATGTTACACATGACATTAGGACCTGAGTGTAGAGCATGGTGGAAGCCATCTTGTCTGCCAGCTGCTCCGACCCCTTTCAAACCATGATTGAGAAGGGCCCCGACAAAACACCAGCTGTTCAGCAGGGCAAGTACCGGCCGCTGACGCTGAGGGAAAAAGCGAGCCACGGTTGTAGCTGCAATTACATAATATATAATATACTTAATAATCTAGGCTGGGTCTTTGCATTTATCGTGCACCGCGCCCGAAATGGAGGCGACGAGCCGATTCACGCAAACGTCGGCTCCACAGAGCGCATCTCGTAGATTCGCTGTAAGAACCCCAGGCCACCTTCCAACCAAGCTATCCTCACATCTGGGCACAGCCACACGATGCCTTCTTGGATGGAATGCCGGAGTTGAGGGTGACGAGTATGTCCTCAACAGGGCACGTGCAACACGAGTTAGCCTGCTCGTCTGCCTTCTCAGATTCTCAAAATTATACCGATGTATCCGCAATGTGCTTGTACCGACTTTTACCTGTGCTTCTGTGACTGTGTACAAGTAACTGACTTTCGCACAGCTCCTGTGCTGTGGGCCGCAATCGGAAATCCTCCTGCCACGCTGCCACCATCATCGGCCGCAATTGCGCATAGCAGTCGGAGGGCGGAGGGCGGGGCCGCTTCCCTTTCACATAGTCATCGAGGATGACCTGTGAAGCACCGCACTGTGCACAGGAGGCGCCTCGACTTTTCCAGTTGACACCCCCCTAGACCTGCACGGGCATAAAGGCCCCTACGAGTAGCGGGCCGATGCGAGAGGCTTTGCGCCCGACTGCACTCATGTTTCAAACGCCACACGTATGCTCAAACTCATCAGGCTCTGTGAGCATACGAAGCTCGACGAGACCGCAGGGAGAGCACACATGAGATGCTTGGGCCAATGGCAAAGCAAAAAGCACCACCGCGATCGCGGCACTCAGCAGCTGGTTCTCTGTGCGGGCAGCTTGTCGAAGTTGGCTTTTGGTTTGCTTCGGGATTTGACGATGGGCTTCCCTGAAGACATTGTGTCCCTTCTCTCTTTTGGAAGAACTTGATCATGGGACGGAGAAGAGGTGACCAAGTACGCTTCCTAACGCCAACGTGGTACTGCGATTTGTTGTGTCTTTGATACTGATGCCCAACTTTGTCGGGAGGTGCGTACTTAGGCTGGCACTTTCGGATCTGCACCACGCTGGTGGAAAGGTGTCCGCCCGGAGCTCATGAAGTACATGACGAGCCCGAAGGCGTAGATGTCGACCTTTTCGTTGTAGTTCTCATGCCGCGCCATTTCTGGGGCCATATAGCGCCAGGTACCTAAACCTCCTGTCATCTTGAAGTTATCAGCCGTTTCCCTCGCAGATCGCCTGCTGCTTCCCAAATCCCCAACTTTCAGCTGCATGCTGCTGGTCAAGAAGAGGTTCAACGGCTTCAGGTCTCGATGAATAACCGGCACATCACGATTGTGCAAGAAGTTCAGAGCTCTGGCGATAGCCAAACACCAGTCAAGCACATCCCGCAGGCAGGGGCGCCAAAGTGCTCCATCACGTTTCTTTCGCTGCATGAGGAAAAAGCGTTCAAGGTCTCCGCATGGGAGAAACTCCGTGATGCACATCACGGGGTGCGGCTTCTCTAGGCAAGCCCCCAAAAACATGACCAGATCCGGATGGCGTAGCTGGGACATCGTCTCGATCTCCTGCAGAATCTCCTGGCACTATTGATGAAACATGGCTTCACGTCGTGCTGAGATAACGTCGAGATCAACACAGGGACTCACAATGAACACAAACGGTCAGGCTCCTGCACCAGGCTGTCCGAGGCATCCTCTGTCTCAAGCTGCTCTGCTTGAGATTCCGACTTCCGCAAGTGGGCCGACATTCCTACGCCATGAAGTCCGGCGCACTTGACCACAACTGTCGTCCCCTTCCAGTCAGCTAAGTACAGGGTGCTGTGCAAAGTGCGGCTGAGCTCGTTCCGTATCTCCAAATCCTCACGCCTAATCTTCCAGTCCGACACATGCGCATGCACTGCCAGGCGCCGCTGCTGGCCACTGGCCGATCTGGCCGGGCCGAGCTTTACTGCAGTGGGGGGTATGAACTGCAGATCCGGCACGATTTGAGAGTCGGGGGTGCAATCCAGCGTTGACACAGCATCCTCAAATGACCAGTGAAGTGGGGAGTCGCATGGTCCAGACATGCCCCCTGTCTGCTTCAGTGTGCACAACGAGTACGATCGAGGCCTTAAGAGATATGCCCTAAATGCCCTGGGAGGAGCCCGGGAGCCCACGGCGGCAGGCGGTACGTTTGCCACGCATCGGAAAACAGAATGGCAGTGCCCGTTGACTTGCTGACATCCAGTGGATGCCCCGCCTGTGGTCGGACCATCGAGGCAGCCGCAGCCTCGCACGCTAAACCCACCGTGATGACCGGATCCACTTCCCTCCAAGTCTTAACTTCCTGCAGCTTGATCTATCGCGAGTCGTAATTCCAGACGAGGCTCGTGGGACAGCTCCGAGGGGGGCCGGCCCGGTGATTGGTCTGCAGCCTTGCAAGATGCAAGGCCTACGGGCCTACACGTGTCACCGCTCTCTGAAGGACCCTCACAACTCTGGCCGCCTGGAAAACCGTCGGTGGAGCCGTATGCCGACGCAACTGTCCGTGTGCAGCTGTGCAGGGCTTAACAGCCGCTAAACTGCAAGAAGAACTCATTCTATGTTACTCTGACCAAAGTCGAATCATGTCGAAACATCCATCCGGCTGCTGCAGCAGCTGGGTCCTCCTCCACTGGTGGTTTGGCAGTGAAGGATGCCACGGCAGCCTGGCATTTGGCAGCCGGGCTTGCCCCCACGTCGCATGAGCAAGACTTTTGGCTTGACTGGGCTGCTACGCTGTGGAGGCATCGGCTGTGCTGAATGATCTAAGTGGGCGTTTCGACGCCTCACAAGGCGTGTGATTGTGGGCTGGTGGCGGAGCAGCACGTTCCCGCAACTATTCGTTAATCATACAAGTACAGTTAAGTTCAAGGTCCCAGACGCTCCTCAGACCCAGCAAGAGACAAGGCAAAGGACAACTTCAGCACACTGAAGACCTACAGTAGTTTCGTGACCTATATGGACTGTACCACTGTACACTATCCTAATCTGTAAGCATAAGGCCGACGTGCATTGCAAAAGTTCGTGTCGTTCGGTTTGGATACGGGGGCCTCCACGGCACCGGGATTCAGAGCCTTGTTGGCCTGTGCGGCCGCACAGGCCGCCACGCTTGGAGGCCGTGCCTCCTCCCCAATCAATGCACAGCACTGGCGGACATTGGCGGACACACTGCGGCTCTCGGAGCCTCCAGTAAGGCACCAGGAGCCGGAGCAGCGACGGCAGCGGCGACGGCGGCGGCTTCCTGCAGGCAAAGGCTCGGGACAAGCCCTCACATGCTACTCCTGCTCCCACTTCTGCATTGCGAAGCCTGGGTTTCGGCCAATTTCTTCAAGGTCGCCTCCTGCACCAAGAGATGCGATACATGCAACCGAAGTCAGACAGAGGATGACAGAGGTTACGCGAACGGTGAGCTGTCTGATGTGACTAAGCAGAATGCTGACCCCGCCACCGGCATCGAGAAAAGATGTTGATCAGGCGGTGAATGCTGGGCCCTTGGCGAGCTGTCTCTCCTTGGCTAGAATGTGCTCCTCCTTGCGCGTCCTCAATGCTTCAGCAAGGGGATACCACCGCTCTGCAGTATCTGCATTGGCTATCAGCTGTTTGGCACCGGGCTCCATAGACGCCTTCACCACGGACTTGTAGGGCATGGTGGGGCCTCTGCTCCCTTGGCGTCGCGGATCATGGGTGTTTGTAGGAGTTATGTAAGAGGACGGGTATGAGATTCTTCAGCCTTGAACCCTGTTTGTTACAGTACAGCTTTCTTGCCGAGTGCGCTTTTGCACGCTGCATGTTCGTGAGATTTATTCCATCACATTACCAATGCCTTAACTACCCTTGAGGATCGCCCGAGATGAAGATTGTGGCCCCGCCTGATCCCGTCGGCAAAGCACCGTCCATCTGCTCCATCAGTGCCTCTCGCTCCTGCACAAGTGCACCGCTGAGCAAGTCTCGCGAGACTGGCCAGTTGCTTCAGCAAATTTTCGTCAAGGTGCTTCCTCTTAATGTGCTGTTGGCTGACATGTTGAAAAGCTCGGCGCGAGCAGTGTCAGCATGCCTGTGGCTTCCCGCCGCCAGCAAGACTGCCGATAGCTTAATGTTGTACTCAGCAAGAGAATTGTTGTCGAAGGATCAAGCTTAACACAAACTTGGAGATGGAGGAGCTACAAATCAAAGTAGGGATCAAGAGCAAGACTGACGGCCTCGAAACGTGTAGTGAGTCTAGTTTTGCTCGCGCTCTCCCGCAGGCTTGCCATTCCTGTCCTGGATATCTGCGGGTCTGCCACTCTCTCTCCCTTTTGGAGGTCAACATGCGTTCAAGGATTCCTTTTGGGCTCAAGGCTGCCACTTCCCAGGCCTTTGGGGTTTGAGGGTATTGCCGCTGTCTCGTCCGCCCAACAAAACTGCAGCTTCCAGGCATGCGCACATCCATCCATCCTTCCATCCATCCACACATACATATGCAAAAGCCGAGTGTACGCACGCCCACATTGATGTCTGGGGGCTGCCTGATATTCTTTCATGCGGAAACCCTCTTTCGCAACGCATTCGCGCCCTGTCGCCCGCAGTACAAGCCACACCTTCCCCTGTTTGGCTGCCTGATATGCTTTTCCTAGGGAAGCATGCACGGATTATGTACGAAAACGCTTGGGGTTGACAGGATACACACTCCGTGTGTCACGAGTTTCGGCTTCAGGCTCACAGAGCTGTAAGTTCCAGATGCCTGGTACCAAAGACCTACACTTACACCAAGCCCCTAATTAGAACCAACAATGCTAACGGACGTTTGCCCTAAACCCTAAACCCATTGAGACATCTGCGCACGCTTACATCCACAAAGCCACACAGCGCATCCGGCGTCATCCCGCCATCAATCCGGCCAGCCAGGCGTGCATGCATACTCAATCATGAGTACACATACATGCATGCATACATACACACTTTGTAAATGCATGCGTGGACACAGTCTGGATGCATGCATGCAGACAGACAGACAGACAGACAGACAGGCAAGCAGACAGGCAGGCAGGCAAACACATACAGACGCGCACGCATGCATACATACACGCACACCGCAAACACACATGCCGACTTACATTGCCTACGCGCATCCATGCATGCATATGCCAGTCATATATCGGCTCGGGTTGGCTTCAGCGAGTGTTGAACTGTTGGAGGTTGTTGTTCCACGTAGCTGTGCTTTTTGCATTGCGGCATGGAAGTCATTATGTTGGTCTCGATGTTTTCCTCGAGAAATCGGACTGGGGCAAGTAAGCACATGCTTCTCGCTACGACTGTGTGAGCTGTCTGGCTTGGTTTGTGTTATCCAGAAGGCTACGGCTAGGTCTTGGAACAATGACCCGCACGAACCCATGCAATGGAATGTAAAAGCAGGAGACTGCCTGTTCGAGCTTCTCGCGTTCCCTCTGCATTGCTTCCTCCATCCTCAATCCATGTCAGTCGCACACAGCCGAAATCACTTCACCACGACTGTGCGCACTTCTGCAGCTACGTACATTTGCCAGATGAGTCAGCACTCGCTACTCTACATCTTTGCAGCAAAGGCGCTTCACACGTTCTTTTTCAATACGCTCTGTTTCCTGCCAAGTTTTTGCCGGGCACTGGCGTCACATCATGCCCGCAGGACAGATCGGTTCGTGCAGGTGCTTCTGCTACACGAGCAATCCACCCCTGGCAGGCACTTCTTGACAAGGCTTTCGGGCTATCCCTTGCCTTTTCTAATTTCTTCTCCAGCTTTGCCTTTTCCTCCTCTTTTTTCTGCTCTGCCTTCTCGCGCTCGACCCTGCACTCCAATGCAGCATCTACCGCTGGCCAAAGCAACAGTTCCGGTCCTGTACTTTTCCTCCATCTTGCGCTGCTCCTCCTCCTTAGCACCGTGCAAAGTCTCGAGTCTGCGATGCACTCAAACATGGACGCTACGTCAAACTAATCGATTAGAAGCTCTCTGAAGCTCTGCATCCTAGCCTCTACCTACAAGCTACGGGCGGCGGTTGAAGTTGGTGTGTCTTAGGGAAAGCAAACCTGCAGGCCACAGTCGTTCCACTCACTCTCTGCACTGATACTATGAAGTTAAGATGATGCCAATGATTCTAAAGAGGGTAACCATCAGGATTTCGGATGAGGATGACATTGAAGATGATGATGCCGATCGTGATGACGATGATGGTGATGGTGATGGTGATGACGATGATGATGCCGGTGGTGATGGTGATGATGATGATGATGATGTTGCTGTTGTTGATGATGATGATGAGGGCGATGATGATGATGGTGATTATGATCATGATGGTGGTGGTGGTGATGATGACAACCGTGTCGGAGGTGCGATCAGCCACAGGGATGGGTCGCTTAGGGTGCAATCCCTGTGACTGGAGCCGCTTATTGCCGTACGAAAACGTAACTGTCGCGATCCGGCGTGACTGTCGCTTTATTATGGATCTTGGTATTTTCGCCGTAGGAGCAGCAGGAGCAGGGGCTCCAAGCCACCCACACCCTCAGGGAGGATTGAGCAAAACATAAAACACCCACAAGCGGAAGGGGTACAGGCAGACAGACCACAGAACCAGGTCAGGAGCAGACAACCGAACCCACCCACATGTGAAGGGGCGGGAGATTGAAGCCGAAACGGGGTGAAAGGGATTCCCCAAACCCAAATCTGCAGACTCGAGTTTGCAAGGCGGGGGGATTAAAACCCAAAACCACCTGCCCACAACTAACCCAAACCCTACAGTGGCCGGGGGAGCTGGGGAGCGCATGATCACATATATAATATCATATATAGGTACAAGCATAGGGTTTATCTCACATCAGTCGGCGAGAATACACATCACCCGAGTGTGGACGCTGTTTCCAGGAATTACAAATCACTGGCGAGAATACACATCAGTAGATGCTAATCCCCATGTAGACGCTGGTTTTTAGTCTCCAAGTCGCGCGTGCTCAAATTTCAGGATATGCTGCGGATGCTGGGGTTTCAAGTACTTTTCATACACTTTACAGCACGTTCCAGGGTGCTTTTTAGCGCCGAATCGCCAACTAGACGCTCGATTGCACAAGCACCCATTCGAGACGTACATCAGTGGCAGCAGAACCCATCAAACCCAGCCGTTCCCCAACTAGACGCTCGATTCCACTGGGAACCATCGGATCGTTCACAAATGGAAATTATAGTTTGAAGTGCGTTTGCCGAGTGTGGACGCTGATCGATGCGTATTTCAACCCAGCGATGTGAGATAAAGCGACCACTGGTAGATGACAGGTTGGGTCGCGCTAGGTACATGGACAGCGAGACAGATAGATGGATCTATGGCCGTGGTAGAGCCTCAGACTCTTGACAGCGTAATCTATATGGCAAGCTCAGACAGTTGCGCTCAACAGGGTCCGCATGCTTCGGTTTTGGGGCTCTTTCGAGGCCTTTGCGCTCCCGAGTCTGTGGGAGCTGGACACTAGGCTCTTTAGAAACGGCGAACTCCTTACGACATGACATTGACATTATGACATCTCGTGGCCTACTGGCTTCAAGGCCGGAGGTCAATCATGTCTTGCCTTCTTTCTCAAACCCGAAGTCCTGAGCTTTGTCGATAAACCCGCACACTTGGAATCAACCTAGTTGAACTTCTTTAAACCCATGTCTAAATTTCAATCATGGGCTGCAAGTGTCTGTCACCGGGAGAGTGAGTGGAACTGTCTGTCTGAGTGTCGTCAGTCAGAGTGGCCATGAACCGGAGGCTCTCACTGCTGTCTGCATCCAAGCTGCCAGCTTCAGCTGATTGGCCTTTTGCTGCTCTTCCAGCTTCCTGTGTGCCATGTGTGTGCCATGTCTAAGCATTGGAAATGCATCTTCTGCCCCCAAGCCCTCCATGAGCACTCAATATCAGCTCCGCGTCCTCAACTCCTCAGCCACCTTCTTGTCCAGCTTTGCCCTGGTGCATAGTGCCACGATGTGCCACGTCATGTCATGTCATGTCACGTGTATGCTTTCATCCAACATCAGAATTTCTGCCAAGGCGCTTGGACTGCTCCATGTCGTATTTTTCCTTGGCAAGCTTCCTGGCCGTCGCAAACCTGGCGAAGAGCGAGACTTCATGTGTGCTCAAAGGGCAACAGAGACAGAGATCCAGTTCTTCAGCTCTTCGGAGCTTTTCCGGCCTGAGCCGCTGCACCGAGCCCTTCATGATGGCCTGGATGCGCACCGCCGCCTGCTCCTCATCCACGCACTTCCACGCCGATTCCATGCCGATTCTATGCATGCTGCGCTGCCGTATGCGCACAGCCGTGTGCAACAGGTGCGCGCCGCACTTTGCCAGCCGGAGATGGGCGGCGCCTGCACGCGGAACTCCATGGCATCGACCTTGTGCCGGTAGCCCTGCACCTGGCAGCCCACGGCCCGGATTGTGCACAGTAAGAACCCGAGGGGGGATACGTACATATACGTTCCTGTACCGGTAGGTATGGGAGCACGTACATACCCACACACAGGGATGCATGCATGTAGGTATGTACACCCAAACTGTAGGTTGCCGTAGTAAGAATAGAATTATTCAGGGTTCATGAAAGGGACCATGATTTTGACAGTTGCCCAGATAGGTCGGTGGGTCGGTCGGTCGGTAAGTAGGGGGTACGTACGTGAAGGCAGGAAGGGAAGGCACAGTATTCAGGCAGGTACGTTCAGTAGCTGTGGCTACAGGTAGGTAGGAAGGGTCGATACAGTACAGTACGCATGTACGTACGTTGGGGTTCCTTATGGTGAGGCAAGATGCCACAAGCCAAGCCCCGGGGCCTGCCTCGCGCTGCAGCTTCGCCTTGGCGGCGACTTCCTTCGCCTGCATCGAGTTTGTTCACCCTTTACTGCTTTGTGAAAGCCCCGGTGCATCGGTGACGCCCCTCGGTCCCAGAGCGGCCTTCTGCTCTTTGAGTTTCTCTTGCCGCTCGCGCTCGATTTTGAGCTTGACCGCCGCACGTTGAGAGTACTCCTGCACTTGGAGCCACAGCGATAAATTCTCGTCGCTCCGTGCAAGGCTGCGCTTCAACCAGTCCTTTTCGTCGCGCTCATGCTTGAGGTTCCGCAGCTGAAGCTTTGCACGTCGAACGCGGTAGGCACCCTTCACGGGTTTCTGCAGTCTTCACGAGGCCTTCTTGTTTGCTGGCACAGAACCGAAGCTCATCCCCGATTCTTGATAACTCCCTGAAGCCAGCAATAAGTTACGTAACTAGCCGGAGCACATAATTTCATGGTGGGCTGTCATGGGCCGTCAACTGATGCGGTCCCACGTCCCACCAGCATAAATCCGGAAGGTGCCCTAGGCTTGCCTGAATGCGCCTCGCAGCACGGGTCTTCTGTATGAACTCCACATCGTGTAGGCGCTTCGAGAATTTTGAGACCTCGCACAGCCGACCAAGAAAGCCTCTCTCCCCGGATTCACAAGTCGCGATCATCCCCGGTTGCCTCGTGCTGGCGCCTCTCCTTGCGCCGGAGCTCCTCTAAACGCTTCCGTTCCCTGGCATCGCTCTCGAATGCCGTCACTCTGAGACCAGCGGGAGTCAAAGCCTGAACTCCGCCAGGTGCCGTGCCTGGTGAGTCAGAGCAGCATGCAGCGTGCTTTGCGATCCCCGAGGCCCGAGGCCATGACACGCTTGAGGTCCCGTACCTTGGCCTTCTCACGCCGCAAAATCCTCGGGAATCCCACGCCATCACACTGATTGGACTAGTTAAATCACCGTCGTCCGGTACGAGCTGGCTGGGCCACTGGGCTGGCTAGGCTACAGTAGGGTCCGGGCTCCTTCACTTCCGCGTAGCGCTTGCGAGCCATGCGCCCGCGCCACCGTGCCTGCAGCCTTTCATTGCAGGCAGCCTCATGACGAAGTCAGCCAGCGAATCCAGCTGCCCTCAGGCGGAAGCTTGATGACATACTGGCCAAGTCGACGGTCTTCCATGTCCGCCAGGAGCTTCCGCATTGCCTGCCGACTGAGGCATCAATTCTGGCATATTGAGGAGCCCTGCGAAGCCCTGTTCCGACGTAACATCCTGTGAAATGAGGTCAGAAGCTAAATGTCAAAGCCAAGGCAAAGAGTCTGTGGTAGCTTCCTGTCGCCCAGAAACTTGAAAGTGGTCACCAGTAATATACGTGCAACAACAACGTCAGTTGCCAGTACTCTCAGATCTTCTCAAGCTCCCTCCGAGCTCCTGGCACCGACACCCATCTGCTGCGCGCGGAGCTGAGCAAATGTGTCGGGTGTGACATTGAGTGTCAAAACATGTCTGCATCGGTCTGCCTGCTAACTGCGAACTGCGACGGTTGTGATCAGTGATGGTTTTGGGAACTATGTATGGGAGCTGAGGTCGAATTTTTGCAGCATTCGGTTGGTGGAAGGAAACTAACCTCACCACTGCACAACTGCTACCCGGACTCACACGCAGTAGTGCAAGCCTTGTTCAGAATGCTCAAATAGGACTCCAGGAACTATGTCTGTCTCCACCGAGCGGCTGCTTCCTGCGCTCGCTTCTCCTCCTCCACACGCCTGTGCAGAAGCGGAGGGACTGGCGCCCCGAAATGTCGCCGTTGATCGCATGCCAAGTCCCGAATCATCCCGAATCCCATGTCCTCATCCGCTCTTCCTCCCTTCGCGCCGCTGCTCTTCGCTCGCTGGCCTCTGCCTGTGGACGGAACGCTTGTTCCCATCAGTCTCGAAACACAGGCTCCGGTCCGAAGGTGTCGCCTCCTTCTTGGCCTTCTCAGCGGCAGCTCGTCGACGATCGTTGCGAGCACGTACCATGGACTTGCGCGCAGGATGCCGCAGAGTGAGGTGCCAGAATCCGTTTGACATCTGACGTGCATCCACGAACTTCTGATGTAACTGCAATTTCTCGCCCTGCCTGTATTTTTGTGGCATGGTACGTCTTCCAGCGAAACTCGAAGTCACGGATTGCTTCCTTGCAAGAATGTGTGTATGAACCTAGAAGCATCAGAATTAGCAGCAGCAGCAGCAGCAGCAGCAGCAGGAGGAGGAACAGTAGGAGTAGGAAGAGTATGGGGAATGGGACGAGTGGGAGCAGCTGCTGCAGAAGCAGGAGTAGGAGTAGTAGGAGGAGTAGGAGTAGGAGTAGGAGGAGGAGGAGTAGGAGGAGTAGGAGTAGGAGGAGTAGGAGGAGTAGGAGTAGGAGTAGGAGTAGGAGTAGGAGTAGGAGTAGG